GGATTCACCATTCCAGAATACAACTGTCTGGCCGAAAATTCACCAGACCTCTCCCCTTCATGGAAGATGCATGCATCTCCTCAACACCCTTCAGGCTGACCAAAATTCCAGAAAGCATTTCATTGCCCTGTCCCTGAACATCAAGCCACTCTATCTATTTTTATTTTATCAATTTATGCTGATTTGACCTTGTTTTCCCATCAGTCTCATACTTTTCAGTCTTTTGACACCTAGATAGATGATCACCTTTTCCAGGTTACAATATGTACTTTCTCCTCACAAGAAGCAACATTATTTTTCACCCTTATTGTTCTCCTGTTTGATATTCTATGTTAAGGCCCATGAGAAATAATGCAGAACCCAGACACCCTCCATTCTTATTAGGCCGCTTCTTGTGGGTTCTCTGTTCCATTCTGTTAGTACAGTAACTCAGTTGCTTCTTGCCTTCAGGATGGAATCACTTCCAATGTACACAATCACATTCATCAGCATAATTCCTGCATTCCTCCACAGACACTCACAGACCAGTCTCCAACTGTCACCAATGTCCAACTGTTTCTATAGAACCGAACAGCTTACCCACTGCTCACTTAACTGGTCTAATCATATTCTGACTAAAGATTGCTAGCTCTGGGTCTCCACATCAGCTGTCTCTTGTGGGACCACATTTATTTTGCCCCAGGTCTGAGCTAGCAGAAATCTCACCTTCACCACATATAACTGTGATCTCTATTTACATAAACTAGTCTTTGAGAGACATGTCCCTCCTTTTTTCCTTGTACCTTCTCCTCACTGATTCTATTCTATTCTGTGCACCAGCCTTATCAGTTAGGCTTTTATAAGCTTATTAGACTTGATTGACCAAGTTAATCACTAAACAACTTAAAAAAATCTCAGTCAACTCTTTTGATTCTCAGCCTCTCCACACAGTGTCATTGCTTCATGGCTTCACATACTCTCTTGTTTCTGAAATTTCTGTCATTTTCCCATGCAGATATGAATTCAGAGATGGCCTGCTCTCAGACACCTATGCACTCTCACTGCCTCCATGTGCTCACTCTCAATCATTCCTCAGAGTAGCTAGTAGACATCAAGAGGTGTTTCCTCCACTGGAAAAACCAAACCACAGCTGATCTTCAGATTCCTCGAACCAGAAGGGCCTCCTTCCCACTGGGATGCCCGCTCAACCCATGTGCCATGCAGGAATCAGTCATGAGAAACATCATCTGTCTCTCCTTTACTACTTCTTTTTTCTTTTTGTATATAATAACAAAAGAACAGAAATATAGGGCTTCATTTGAAAGTGACTCTCTCAATAGCCAACCTGCATGCCAGCATAGAGACTGTTCTTATCTCAAAACTAGTGCTCTCAACAAACACATGAAAAGATGAGGTGTAATGTAAGCAGGTGGATATCTGAAGACACCAAAGCACTCACATAGACGTCTCAAGGACGTTGATCACTGAGGAACGAAATAACCAGAGAACTTTGCCCACTGACATTCACTACATTTTTCTTACTTAATGGTCCTTACCTTCTTTGAAGCCCCATAAAAAAATCCATAAATCTTTGTTCCCTGCAGTTGGCATTTTTTACCCTCTAACTGCCTATGCCCAGGACTCAAATCATATGTTTCCTTGCTTTCACACAACCTGCTGAGTGGTCACTGCTTTGTGTTGATCCTTGCACTTTGAACATTGTCTGGTAAGAAAATGGGTTTAAGAGCCTAAGTTGCAAGTGGTCATTTTAAACACACCACATTACATGGAGAACTTGGCCATTAAAGAATGGAGCATGTACTGTCCTCTGGTTATCTGTAATCACCTCTGGTTTGAGTAGCCACATGCCCACTCACTCATGATGCTTCAAAAGAATTAGGGAACAGTATTCTTCTTTTCTCTAATAAAAACATTCTTAACATTCTCCTTTAATTTGTGATCTAAACCACATTATTGGTTAGGTCACTGTGGTTTTTACACTGTGAAAACACAGTCTCTGTTTTTATTACTGGCAGTAAAGTAGGACAGACATCATTAACAGAAATATGTTTTTGGTTGTTGAATATGGAATCCAGGAGGAGTTCACTGGATACCTGGCAAAGTCAACCAAGTCAAAATAAATCACGTGCCATGTTAAAACTTCCTTTGAATTCTCATTTTCCTTTCATAAGTTCAACAGTGTGGGAAAATATTGGAAACCCTTGGGAACTCACTATAAGTGTAAATAGTCAGAGATCTGAGATAAGTTGTGGATTGAAGACCCTGTCCTGCAGACATTTATAAATGTGAGGATGCAGACCAAGGACATAACACAACACAGATACACACCTCCTACAGACATATGAGTTAGTCAGTAACTCCACTCTCCCTAGAATAGTATGGATGAGACTGTGCCTACTGCCACACAAGACAGGATGTTGGGTTGGTAGAGATACTGCGTAGGACAGAATGTGGGAAACTCTGAACTAACCCTGCCACAGAAAAGAAAAAAGGGGGACACAAGCACCAAAAACAAGAAGCTCAGAGTCTGAACCTAGCAAGTGAGACTGTACATCCCTGTCGGTAGTTCTGGTCACTTCCTATCAGACTTCATCCTAATTCCATACCACCCTCTGCGTCTGTCACACAACATAACCACTGCATGATCAGGGTCTCCCAGAGTGCTCTCCAAGAAGGCCACACTCAGCAGAAGTCAGAGAAAGCTCTCTCTGCCAATGGATGTTGACTCTCAGCAATATTTTAATAAGGACACACACTTGGGTGCAGAGATAGCAGGAAGATCTTCCTGCTTTGGCCCACCTGAGCAGAGAATTCATGCAGCCTGACTCCTGACTCTTCATTGCTGACTGATGCCTTCTTCATTGCTCTCCCTCAGAGACAAGAGTGACAAAAAAAACAAACGTGCAAGACTAAGGGTCAAATAAAAGGTTGCAAGCCTAAGACTTCTGTACCAGGTTCTCTTCCATGATTTTGACTTTGCCTCACTTGGGAAGCATTTATGGGCTTTGATCCTGGCCTTTCAGATATGCCCCATTTTTTTCTCAAAGGACTCAGTGGGCTCTTTCTGAAAAAAAAAAATGTGTTGCATATGTGTTCAAAAGATTCTAGGGTTAATGTCCTACAATACAATCAGTTTTCTAATCTTTGAAAACATGCTGAATCCACATTATGCCAGGAGAAAATAGAATAGAGGATGGGCTAACAGTTCAAAAAGTTAATATTGGAGAATAAGACAATCATCACTGTCAAGATTTGCACACTATCTCAAATTCTTTATTTTAAACCAAGAAGATGAATATGTGCCTCTTCTAAAGAAACACAATTGCTTCTTAAAGAAAAAGTTAGAGTTAAAATATAGCAGCATACTGTAAGAGAAAAAAATGGAAGAAAATCAAACATTGCTCCTCCCTAAGAAAAGTTTGCTACTTCACTCAGGGTCATAAAATGACCTAAAATATGAAGGTAAACATATAGCTAGACATGGGATCCAGAATAGATGCTACAATGGAGCCCCATGCTTGATCCACTTGGTCACTATCCAGTGATGCCACAGGGACACATACAGAATCGAGACTATAAGCTCTGCATGCCTAGCAGTTTCCTCCTCACACACTGAAATTCTCTGCTATTCCACACAAATATTTCTGAAAGAAAAATAATTTGGAGTTATGTGATACTCTCATTTACAATTGGTTGGATCAAAAAATATATAGGAGTATAGAGAGGCCACAGTGATGCCATATTTTCCCAGACACACCTGGTCAACAATGTTTTGGGAAAAAGTGCAGGCCTGGAAACTGACCCTACTCCCATGTAAAAACACAAGCTCCTGTAAGGACAAGAAGCAAACAACTTATGTAATCTAAACATGTATGATTTGAGTTTCTTTGTTCTTTATTTCAATAAACCTGCTTCCTTAGGCTGGCTGGCCAGCAGCCATTTTGCTGACCCTTCGTGTGTATGACCCTTTATTTTCCGTTTCCTTACAGAACCCCAATATCTGATGCCTGAACAGGGGACTCAACAATGGATATGTCTGCTGTGGAAGGTGACTTGCTTTTACTGTGTTCCTGGGGTGACCCAGCCCCTGATGGGTCCACTTCAATTTCCTTGGAAAATCCTCAGGTAAGTTATGGGGAATTTCCTGTCTGAAGTGCAGCAGAAACATAAGGCAGAACTAATTTTTCTCCTTAGAAGATGGCCTATGTGCTCTCTGAGCATAATTTAGTACAATTTTTGTGAAAAATTCATGACTATTGTCCTTTATATTCTGAGGGAGGAATGCTCATTATGGAGTATTGGGAAAAGATAGGCAATCTGCTGCATGTGGAGCCTGGAGTTCCCATCTCTGTCCTGCACACTGTACATTTCTGCAAGGATGCTACTCCCTCCTTTGGTGAAGGAACAAATGGAGCACCACATAGCTGACTTCCAGATCCTCTCCAGTGTGTGCTTCTGCTGCCTCTCCCTTAGTTGGTTAAGGCCCTATTTTCCTTTGCCCATTCAACAGTTAGCTTCTCTATTCAAAGCTTTACAGCATCACACAAATCCTGCTGATGTGAACTCTGACTGTCCTTCTGGCAGGTCCTTCACAGCACTGCTTATATACTCACCACAGTTTTGGTGGACTGAGCCCCAAAGACTGGCCTCTCTCCTTACATTTTTTCATTTAACTCTTTTGCCAACTGGAGCTGTTGTTGCCATCCAGAGCAGCAAGGTATGTGTTGTTGAATAGTCTCACTTACCCCACTCACCTGGTAGTACTTTATGTCCCATTATCAATGCTATTCCTTCTCTTACCTCTTGAAGACTTACTCATACTTGCACATATACTCTCCTTGGTGCTGGTCTACCTGATGCCATTTTACCACTTACCAAAACTGATTGCTCCTTTTAGCTGTGCCCTACTGTTTCTCTTTAAGTCTCTTTGGGTATGATGGTTCCATTTCTTTTTAAACACCCCAAGACCCAGGCTGATGGGGGCCAGTGCCTATGCTGACCTGGGGATGAGGTTAAGCTTCTTTTCATCACCAACATGTCCTATGTGGATTCCTGCTGATTGCATTCACTCTGCATGGAATGAGATATCTCCATCTTTTTGTCTCTCTCCAATCAAGCCTGGCTGCCTGCGAAATGACAGAGGACAACAACTGCTGAGCTAGTCAGTGACCTGGTGTAATAGTAAAGTGCTGATCCAGTCTGCACAAAACTTGCTCCAAGCATCTGAAAAGGAATCCACTACTGAAAAGCTTCTTGTTGTGATAATTACCAAATTGACCATGCACTCTTTAATGTTGCTTTGTATTTATTACTATGTGATTTGCAACCCACCATGGACACCATATAGTCCCACAACTTCCAGGAAAGATTGTAATACAATATTTGGGTGCAATAGGCAAAAATAGATAATGTCTCTCATTTCTGTCTTGCTCTAGAAAGAGAAATAATGTACATTTTGGGTCTTGTCTGTTTCTGGTAGGCAAGGACAATGCCTCTCTAACTAATTACAACATTTTCTCCACTATTCCAAACAAAATTATAACATATGCTGGCTATCCACATTTTGGCATTCTCACCCTTAAAAACCCTGATAATGCTGTTAAAATTCTCACTCCATATGTAGCAACTTCAAATGGTTGATGTGCTCATATTGAAAACTGTACAACTCAATGTCTTTGGCTTTCTAAAATTTCTTTAAATTGTTCTAATTAAGAGCACATATGGTATGGACATGGACATGTTCCTCTCCTTGCTGGTTTATGCAATGAAATTGCTCAAATATGCTGTTGTAATTTGTCTGATGAAAGAAAATTCTTCAATGGGAAACTTCATTTTTTATCAGAACTTACCAAACAGATACATATCTGTTTGATACAGATACATATATGTTGAGCCCAAAGGCTCAACACTGGATTATGGAATTTCCTTACAGGATGGTTACCAAATATCAATTGAATAACACAAATGTTTCATTATGCTGTCACTGTCCTTATCTGAATAATTAGTATTGGGAAGTCTTATACAATGCATCTCATCCCTACACAAAATATTCATACAAAAAATGCCAGCTTATAACGTGGTAAGAAATCATAAACTGAAAAAAGAAGAGGGAAGTTGTAGAGAGACTACACTGACTCCATTTTGTCCCAGACATAATTGATTGACATTTTGGAAAAAAGTACAGGCCTTGAAACTTTGAGACCATCTCAAGGTAAAAAGATGAGGTCCTGTAAGGACAAGAAGCAAACAAGTTATATAGTCTAAGCATGTGCAATTTGATTTTCTTTGTTATTTATCTCAAAATCTGCTTGTGAAGCAGCAAGCAGGACCTGGAATCCAGTCCTGGTACTTGCTTTCATGCTGGTTTAATTCCACTGCACAGGGAAGCCTTTGAACTTTGCTCTCAGGCCGCAAGACCATGCCCTGTGTCTGAAATTACCAAAGGACACATGGAGTGCCTGTGGGCTTAACCAGCCCACTACCAATGAGGGCCAAGAGGCAAGCAGTTGCCAGCAGTCTGTCCCATGAGCCAAAAGTGGGCCAGGTGATTCCCAGTGCATCCAGGAAGCTTTGAAACATTGCTCAAAACCTGGAAATAAGTGCAACTGCAGCTGGCACTGAGGAATGTGATGCCACACTGGGACCTTGGACCAGGTTTCTGTGAGCTTCCTGCATGACTCCCACCAGACCTGGGGAATAATGGGTGCTGCCCTCAGACCTTGGCCATCTCAGCTGCCCACTTCCTACACAACTCCAGTCAGTATGAGGAACACCACACTGCCCTGGGACCTTGGCCTTCACCCCACGGATTCCCCGACCCAGGACATCTGCTGGCCCCTCAGTAACACTCCCTACATGCTGGACCTAATACAGCTCTGATCTTCAGTTCCCAGCATTTCTCCCAGAATCTTGGACAACAGTAGATTAACTGTTAGCTTGAAGGGAGATTCAGTAACTGCATCACACAAACAGATCTCAGGAGACTCCAGTCAGTGTAGTGAGTATGCCCCTTAAATAGAGGGGTACAGTGGGTAAATACAGCCAGTAGTAAAGCTCCTTCCAACCAAATGTAGGACGTTGGTGAGTCTGCGTACGTTTGAAAAGTATAATCAAATAATATATGTCTACATAGGCATTTCCCCCCACAATCTCTCGCATGTGTATATCTTTCACATAATACAGATAGATACCTTTGAGGATATGAAAACAATTAAATCTATTATCTTATCAATTTCAATCCTATTTGTGATGCCATAACACTTAACATAGTTGTCAGTGTATCTCCAGATTGTCATTAGTATGTATAAGAGAAAAATCAAGTTTTCATTAATATCTCCCTATTTTCAAAATCCACACATCCACTATCATTAAATTTTCTATTTTATCAGATTTTTGTAGGTGCTAAGTATGAATCTGATCATGCAATAATTTTTCTGAACATAATATTTCAATTTATGATTTTCAGTTTCGTTCAAGCTGTAGTGAATGGCAGGCATGCTATTCATTTTTCAGACTGTACATTATTCCAGTGCATTATAAAGAATCCTATTCTTATGCACTGAAACACTTACATGGTGCTGAACACACTCTAAATGCTGAATTCTGTACATTTTGTTATAAGGGGAATTGTTGTCTCAAAGACTATCATACAGATTCTCTAAAGGATATTAACATATTGATCTGATCTTTTAGAAGGCTCCTGGAATATACTCTACAATGATACATTACATTCTTGTTTCTTTTTTGCTGTCTCTGTGTCTGTCTCTCCTTACTGGGGGAAATAAGGGTAACAAGAATTCTTCATGCAGTGCACATGTAGTATTACTTCCTTTTAGCAAGATGTCCTCTGGAACTTATCTATATTAAAATTTTCTTCCTCTGACAGCTATTTTGCATGGTAATAAAAAGCTCATTGATAGAAATGGGATTACATAAGCAGGCAAACTGGCAAGGCAGTTTACCCAAAGTTAAAACAGTTAGAAAGGTTTCCAAACCAGCATAAAGTGGAACTACAAATGCAAGTGCTCTATCTTGAGCTACATACATTGTTGGTGGTTTGTGTTCAGACTGCTCAGGCTCATGTCTGAGCATTGAAAATGTCTACCTTATCCCCTTGTCAGTGTCATGCAAGCCACACAGTGTGAACAAAGTGGAGAATCTCATAAGGATCATCATCCTAAAAACAACTCAAAGCAAAGAAAAAAAACAAAATTCATAATGTTCCTTTTTCCAAATACTGTTATTGTCCTGATTCAGTTCTTTTAGAAAACCCAATTAATACAACACTCAAACAAGATACAATAATTTAAGTATCATGTTGTATAGAGGACTTTAAGAGGACTTGAAGCTTATGAATGCAGTGATACTACTAGAGTTAGAAAGAATATCATGATCAACTAAAAGGAAGTGGAAAATGAAATGTGTTGACAGTGCACAGAATATACCTAATTCATCAAACATTACTTATACACATTAAATCCTCTGAACATGCTCAACACATTTGCTTACTCTGTGTTTAGGGACATATACATTTATGTTACATAATATAAATGTTACAATAAAATACTAAAATCTCATGTAATCCACTGAATATAGTCCACTGTAATCACCAGTTGTTCAACATCAGTGTCCTGTTGCTGAAGAACAGTGATTTATCATTGCTGTCCTCCATCATGAGTAAGTATTGTACTATACATCATTAGTGCACAAAAACAATAAAATTGAAAAGTAAAGTAAGTTTCCATTAGGTTATTTTCTGTATTTTTCAGAAAGTTTTTCCTGGGCCTAGAGAGAATTCAAAATGTTAGTATCTATTGGACATAAATCCCAGAATTCATATTTTGCATTGAAAGAAGGTCATTCTCAATTTTTCAGAACAGTTGTAACATTTGTCACAGTCCCCAAGTGGCAGAGAGTAAAGTTGTGAATTATCGTACATCACCGATGTTTAAATTACCCAATAACTGAAATCTTGGTACATCATAGTTAAAAATAATCTCCAACTTAAACTGGCTTAGTGACACATATATATTGTGCCCACATTAAAAGAGTTACAAACACTATTAAAAATTCAACCACTGAGAGCAACTTAGTAAGACATGATCTCAACAATTTTTAGAAAATTATAAACTTAGACAAAATTCCAGAGTTTAGTCCCTAAAGAAACAAACATATAAAAACCCAAGTATGCTGAGCTTGGTGCAGTATACCTGTAATCCAAGCTCTATTGAGGCTGAGGCAAAAAGATTGTCATGAATTTGAATCCACCCTACACTACAAAGGAGATCCAATCTCAAAAAAAATTAAGTAACTGATTATCAAGAATACCTTTAAGTCTTTAGTACACTGGAGATGGTCCATGCCATTCCACTATAGCTATAGTGTTTACATAAATTTTAAATCTATAACAAGGCCAGTTTCCTAATTTTCAATTTTGCCTCAAAAATGATTCCATGAACTAACCAGTGGTAGTAAAGGGCATACTTCTGTATTATAAAACTTCCTTCCTTTTTCAAGCCTGTGACCTTTGTCCACCTCACAGAACAAGCAAGCACACAAATGTGCCTTCATGTTTACCCTAAGAACAATCTGAGTTTCAGAGATCTTTTATATTATAGACACTATTATTTGCTAAACAAAAAACTCTTTATATCTAAACATTGACATGCAGAACATCTTTCATTTCAGGTTTGTACCATACTATGGCTCTTTGAAAGTCTAACTCAAGCAGCATTTTTGTATTTAAAGAAAAGTAACAGGGGCTGGGGATTTAGCTCAACAGCATAAGCGCCTGCCTTGCAAGCAGGCAGTCATGAGTTCGATCCCTGGTAGCGATAAAAATGAAAAAGACAAAAAAAAAAAAAAAAAAAAAAAAAGAAAAGTAACAATCAGGCCAAGCACGATATCCCTTAATACAGAGAAGCCACCAGGGCTCCATTCTGCTTGTACATATACGACATAAATATGCACCTGTAAATGACCCAATACAAGATTCTCTCAATGTAGGTTTAATAAGCAGCCTCTTTGGGAAGTTGTCTCTGGCAGCTATACTTTCCCCTTCCCTTGCTAAGCCTTTAACACCCACTACATTTTCCGAAGTGTTCTAACTCCATGTCAGAACTCACTTAAACAATCTAATTGTGAGTGGAAGTGTCAGTTACATAATAAAAATTTGAAATTTCTTTGGCACTACTCTATATGGAACTCAGGAGTTTATGGGGTGTTTGGCAGGTGATCCTCCACTGTGGCACATCACCACATGTTTTTTAACTCTCAGGACTTTTTTTAATACCCAACACTGGTTTAGAAACATAGGAAGATAGTGGAAATTTAGAAGATCACTACTAAGATTAAAAAGCAAAATTTGAAGAGTTGTGTGTATGAGACCCTGCATCACAGATATTTACAACCCTCAGACCTTTTAACTGTGCTGCAGACAAGCATTAAACCAGAGATCTAGCTCACTACCACTGCATTCACCTCCAATTTTCATCTGGGCCTGGATTTCCCCAACATCTTTCCTATTCCCAGAATGCTATAGATGCAAATATAGCCGTGGGTTCCTCAAGAGAGCACTCAGGCTGTAGGTGTCACAGTGGGCAAAAGGTCCTGAGAACTCAAAACTAGTCTTGCTCTAGCAATGTTATAGGCAGCTTAAGAAAATACAAATATTATGGGCAGTCAGAGAGGGCCAGGCCCTCAATGGAGCCAGTGGAGAAGACCAGATATCACTCCACAATGGAGGTAACAAACACTTCCCACTGTGGGCCATATCTCCAAACAAAAGACAATACAAACAGAACTTCATGCTAGTATAAACACCAGGGATTTATATTCTCAATAGGTATCCATCAACTTGAGGTAGACAGAAGCCACCATTCCATCGCCCTACAGCAAAGATCCTGCTCCCCCTTGCTACCTTCCCTATTGGATCTCAATTTCCTCAATTTTACCTTAGCAACTGACTCATAATCTTATTGATTGACTCTAATTCTGTTGCACCTCAGGCCTCTCTGCATTGCGAGATCCTATTCCCCCCGCCCCAGACTCACCTTGTGGTTTTGCTGTTCTAAAATCCCTAGAAAAGTTGAAGTTCCCAGAATCCGGACATCTAGTAAGTGCATCTACCAACAAGGGGAAAAAGGAACAGATATGGACTCAATATCCAACTCACACTACATCAGGATCTGGAGCTAACCTTGGGGGACCTCAGAAACCACAGTTATGGATTTTTTTTTCCCGGTGGCACCTGGCTTCAAACTCAGGCTTGTCGCGCTTTCTCAGTCAGGCTCTGTGCTATATCCTAGACTCTAATCGACCACAGATAGTTTGGACCAATTCTATCTGGACCTTTTACAGATTTTTCCCCACTTCAGAGTCCCCGTCCCAAAACGTTACCATTGCGCAGCTTGAGGGTCTCCTAGGGTCTTTCCTATACAGGCTGTAGCTTGTAGAAATCACAGAAAGCAGCCCAAAAAGCTAGGGTCTTTCTAGCAATGTGCTAGGGACGGCCCATAAAGCTAGGGTTCTTCCAACAATGTGCTAGGGACAAGCACTTTAGCGCCATGACACCGGAAGAGCCCTCCCCTTTTGCTGTCTCTGATTGGACAATTTATACCGTTTTCTCCATTTTCATTGATTGACGCATTCTATTGAACGCTCTCGGAACCAACCGGAAAACAGAAACAAATCTTTATCTGCAAGAGTGGAGCTTAGGTGTAAGACTGTAATGCAAAGACTTCTGGGCCAGGTTCTCCTATAAAACACTAATCTCATGTAACCTGCCTAATAACACTTGCATTTAGACTTTACCCTGAGGTCTCAGAGTTGACACTATTTTCTAAGAGGACTCAGTGGAGACTCTTTTTGAACATTTCTAAACACAAAAATGTGTCTAGAAGATTGTGATATCGTGGACTGAAATTCCGAACGAATAGAGTTTTTGGCGCGAGGAAAGAAAAAATTTTTGAAGAAATAGTAGCCTTTATTTAAAGGACGAGGAGGAGCACCGCACAGCCATAGACAGCTGGTCCTCTTCTGACAGGGACATGGGATATGGGACATATATATAACTTCTGACCAGGTTTGCACTTAGGTTGGACACTGTTGACACTCAAAGCAGCTGATAGGGACTTTTTTCGCGCTGCCGGCAGAAGGGAAAGAGGTTGTCATAGGGGAAGACGGAAGTGACTTCAGGGTAAACATCCCTTGGTCCTGCCTCGCCCCGCGGTAATATGGTATCTAGGACAAAATCCTTTCACCATCCTACTACATGTCAAGTATGAGTTCATGTTCTCTAAAATCAAAGAATACATTTTAGGAACAATGGAGGTTAATAGCGAAATATATTTAGGGAGAGAAAGAAAGCTTCTGCCTAAGAGATAGAGAAGATGTCCTGAGTGGATTGCCAAAAACTGTCTTTTTAGAGAATTTTCTTTTTTGATACTAGCAATGAAACTCACATCCTCACACTTGTCAGATAAGTGCTTATACCACTGTGCTAAATTCCCAGCATCTTCTAGGGACTTTCATAAAAGAAAATAATGAGGTTAAGTCGGTCCAAAGCAGGGGAAAATGGGAAATCACAAGGTGGGTGTAAGGCAGAACAAAACTGTGGTCAACCAATAACATTAATGGCTTAGGTAAAATTGATTAAATGAGGAAAAAATGGGGGAGTGAGTAACATAGTAAGTGGACATCCTTAACAGCAGTGGCTCTTGTTGTATCGGTTAGGGTACTGACCACTGTCTTCCTCAGAGTCATAGAGAGCTGTTTGAATTGTTGATCCTTAGGATGTGGATGTGTTTTATTAGCCTTTTATCTTGATGGCTGGCTCTCAGTGGGAGGTGATTGTCTTTTCCAAGGCTGCAAGGTATCTGAACTTCTGTTCTTTCTCCTTTGAGGGATCAACCCTGTTTGACTACCTATTATATTTCTAACTAACTCTGCTGCCTGTTACAGTTCCAGGGCAAATAGTCTAGTAAAGAAGCAATTGCCTTATGTCCAAAAACAACCTGGCAGCCCAAACTACAGGCCAGCCCAGAACACAGTAAAGGAAGAACTGGATGTTTGAGAGGTAAATATTTGCCAATGACATAGCTGGCTTTGACCTGAAGATTTTCACACTATTTCTTTCCATCCATTAATTTTTCGGCTAAGAAAATGAGCATCTGTCCTATAAAAGGAAAACAAAACATTAGTAATAAATCAAGGAACCATTCTATAAAAGAGCAAAAATGAAAAAAGCAAACATTTCAACTCTTCCATGCAAGTTTGCTGCTCGTTCAGGGTCAAACCCTACCCAACCCATGTTTGAACATAAGCATACTGCCAAGCCTGAGGGTCAGAAGTGCAGTCCCATTTCTCATCCACTGAACTATTTCCTTGTGATGAGAAGGGAAATATAAGGACTTCTCCCTGTAATTTTTCTGTCCTCACAAATTAAAATTTTGCCTCTTTGAAGACATTAATCTTCCTAGAAAGAACATATTGGCTCGTGCCACGTAATATATTTGTTAAGTTAGTGAGCTTAAGAGATGCGTAAGATATTAAAAGAGCACTATTCTAGGTGTGTTTAGAGGTAATGTGAGTTTCCTATGACCCAATAAATCTGGTCCCTGGATCGTTTCTCTTTGGCTCCTTCTATAGTTTTGTACCTGAATGTTGTAAAATAGTTACCAGTGTTTTTACTTCTATTTGTTAAGATGTTTCTCCATTGGAAATAACCGAAAGCAAACTACAACCTGAAACAATGAGACAAAGTGAGCCCACTTTTCTTAAATTCTGTGTGTCAGGAAGTTCATCCCTGTAGCTAAGTAACTAAGTACATAAATAAATACATAAAAAGCTAATAAAAATCAGATCAGTTAGGTGTCTCTCCTAAATAATCTTCCAAACACATCAATTACTTTGATCAAATATTTGAGTGACTGATGCCTTCTAATGTATCATATATAAGAAGGATATCACTGAGGCTGTGCTCTACCAAAGTGGGTACCATTCATAATGCTGTGCTTGTTACTGCTTCCTGGTTGTGATGATTTGACCAGGTTTCTTCTAGCACACCTTTCTATACTTCCAGTTTTAGGTAAACCAACTTTATTTAAGTTTAAATACTTGTAATTATTTTAGTCTTTCTTTTTCATATTTCAGACATGAACACAGACACCATTAGATTTTCTTGTATTCTATATTGTAGATTCTTCTGAAAAATATTCAGGAATAGAAAAAAATTACAAGACACTCAAATATACAATAATACTTCTACATAAAATTATAGAAGATGGTCTAAATACACAATGAATTAATAACCTTTGGATGTGATGATTTATGAAATAATATCAATTATTCATATTATATCTTTATTATAGACAATGATTTTGAAAAAATAAGACATCATGGTAGCCACTATTGATTTTCCTGTTGTGTAGTTTTGAATACCTGTAATGGTATGATTTTTTTGGTTTTGATCAGTTTTATACTATTTTGTTTTGTTTGAATTAATTTTATGTGAAGATATAGACATCTATTTCAAAAATGAGACATTATGATAGCCAATGTTGATCTCCTTTGAATTATTATGTCACATTCATTGTTTTCTTCTAATCTGCTTTTTTCTCTTTTATTATGTTTTGTGTTGCCCTCTTTAAAGTAAAAAAAAAATATATAACTTCAATATAATTGGATATCTCATATCAGTGAATGCATGGAAATTTGGACAAAAATATTTCTAAATTTCTAGTGATAAACAGAGGATAATACTGTGTTACAGAATTTTGGATAAAAGAAGTAAACAAAGGAGGCATTCCCTCTGCCTAATTCCTTGGCCCCATTAAGAATAAACTATTGAAATTGCAACCTGGAGCAACAGGCACATACATCAAACTTAAAAGACGAATTGAGAAATACTTCTGCTGTATTCAAAACCAAGGCTTGATCAGACTGCCAGCATAAATGCAAAGAAAGTGGCCATTGAGCCACTGTGAAAAAAGAACTACTTATTTTTAGGCCAAATACATCTCATTTCTAAGGAAATGTTCAGTGCAGGCAGATTCAGCACTAAATATGAAGTACATGTCTGCTAACTGTACAAAATGTATGGGAGAAACAACTTGCTAATCTATGATTGAGCAAAATTTCAAATATAAGATTGCAAATCTACAAAAGATAAAGAGATTTTAAATGTATATGTGTATACACACACATACATACGTTTATACACACCAAAAAATATAATGATGTAAATTTGGTTCAGTTGGAAAACTATCATTGAGTAAGGTTGGAATATCTAGAGCAAGCCAAAAAAATCAGTTTTATCAAAAATAAAAAACTTCAGCCCAAAATGAACAAAAGATATAAGCAAATTATTTAGGAATGTTCACACATGAAAATAATAGGCAAGATTAAGGAAGACAGGCAAATGAAAATCAGCAATGAAATTTAACTTTCTGATTATTAGAAAATGGCCAGTGTTTGAAGTCTAGAAGTAGATACTATCACACACTCTTAACAGAGGGTGGAAGGTGTGAATTAAGAATAGCATGGTGGGTGCAGTACTATGCACCTGTTATCTGAGCTGTTTAGAATGCTGGGGCATGAGGATCACATGTCACAGTACAGTCTGAGCAAAGCAGTGACACCTTGTTTTGAAAAAAGTAAACACCTATACTTACCTGGCAGGGGAGATACCATAATCACAAAGGTGGTTTAACCAGGGTGAGGCTTATGCATTGCACTCCAAATGTGCTGACCCCTGTGATTTTCCCAAAAGTCTGTAATGGTATGAACAGTTATTTTAAAGAAAACAAGACAATATAATAGCTAGTGCTGATATAATATCATCTTGTTTTGAAGTGCCTTGAAGCTTTTGTTCTTCTATCTCCATTCGTTTATCGTGTTGTATCCTATAGATTTTATTATATGTGATAGTATAAACAAAATTTGCATAGACAAGGAGATAATATTGAAACCATTGTTCGTTTTCTGTTATTTGGTTCTAAATACCCTGTAATACTTTCATTCTCTTGAATGGTTTTACACTGTCATGTTGTGTTGGATGCTATAATATATTGAGTTATACTCAAATATTTCAAGGAAAGAGACAATATGGTAGCTACTATTACATCGGGTTATCTTGAAGTGCAACACTATGTTGCTTAAATTGTTCTGTTCTGAGCTGTGTTATTATGTTGTTATGTCCTCTTTTACCTTAATCTTCTTTGTTCTTTTAATTTTTAATAGTAGAAGAAAAAAGTAAACATATATTTTTCATGTCTTCATTTGTATACAATCTCTGTAGAGATGTGAAGTAGCACAGATGCCTATAATATTTTCTCAAATCCTCTACATAACCCAAAACAAGATGTCTGCATAATTTATTAGAGTGACAGAACTGGACAAGGCTTCTTTCCCATTGCTTGTGAAAATACATGTTAGGTGTTTTGAAGGCATGTAGTGATCCTGGCAGGAGTGAGGTGTACACACAATAATGCACATACAGAGGTAAATGATACTATGTGAATTGAGATGAGCTCATAACTACTTCAATTTAGGTAGATTAAAAATTTATAATGATTT